TGGGTTGAGCATTGTTTCAGGGAAAGGTGATGAATGGAAGTGTCCCTGACAAGGGTCACACCAGCTAGAAAGGGGGACATACAGGAGAACGGATGCTGATACAAGTGAGTGTAAATCCATCTGAGAGTCCAGAGAAGGAAGTTCTGAGCTTTTTACCTGATTGTGTTTTACCTGAGTGTTATTTGAACAGCGTCTCCAGGGACAAGAAATAAGAGTTTGCAAAGCAGGGAGTGGAGAGGAGAAAGGCAATCTAGTTAAAGGGAATAATATTTGCATAAAATGTTTAAGAACAAGGGCAATTCTGAGAAGAGCAGTTAGTATGGGGCTAAAACAAAGACTACACGTGGGGAAGCGATGCATTTAACAAAAATTGGAGAATTTACATTGTGGCTGAAACTTTGCTAGTTGCTATGAATAAGAAAAAGGCTTGGTTGCTGCTTTCAAGGATATTTGAGTTCAGTGGTAGAAATAGGAAATAAAATCAGAAATTACAATCTAGTATAGTAAGTGTAGGAGAAATGATAAGGAAGGTCCTGGACACCTCTTCAGGATCAAGGTAGAAGTAGAAATGGGTAGATGATTAATCAAAGTGGTAAGCATAGGATTGTACAATGGGAACACAGAAAAGGGACACTGGATATAGTTCTGAAGGATTCAAGGTTTCCAATACAAATTATTTTATTATGTTCCTCAAGTGTTGCAGATTTTTGGGTAATTAAGTTTTAAACATTAACTTATTATAAAATAGTATATTCAGATAGTATAGCAGTGAATAAAACAAAAAATCCTGATTTAAAGAACATTAAAGAGTTACTCTTTAAGCGACATAATGATGATGAACCCATATACATATATATACATACATATATATGGGTTCATCACATATGTGTGTGTATGTATATATACATACACACACACTGTTGTGCTACATTTTCCTTTCTCAATATATTTTTTTGAGTAGGCTCCATGCCCAGTGTGGAGCCCAGTGTGGAGCTTGAACTCATGACCCTGAGATCAAGACCTGAGCTGAGATCAAGAGTTGGACACTTAAGCAACTGAGCCACCCAGGCGCTCCACTATGCTTTTATCTCTTAACAAAATATTTTGAACATTTTTCTACATCAGTATGTATCAGCCTACTGTATTCTTTTTTTAAGAGCTGTATGGCATTCTGTTATATAAAAAAAACCTTAGTTTTTTAACCAGTACTCCGTTGATAGATATTTAGGTTTTCTAGTTTTCTTTTTTTTAAAAAGATTTTATTTATTTATTTGATAGAGAGAGACACAGCGAGAGCAGGAACACAAGCAGGGGAAGTGGGAGAGGGAGAAGCAGGCTTCCCGTGGAGCAGGGAGCCAGATGTGGGGCTCAATCCCAGGACCCTGGGATCATGACCTGAGCAGAAGGCAGACACGTAACGACTGAGCCACCCAGGCACCCCTCTAGTTTTCTCTATTACAACTACGTTGGAAATGAATACCTTTGTTTATACATCATGTATACTTGGGCTAACATTACTTTGGAGCAAATTACTTAATCTCTTTGTGGCTGATATCTACAAAATCATTGAGAGAATTATCAAACTAATTTACTTAATTAAAATTTCTTGCATAGAGATTGGTTAAAGAAATGTTCTCTTAAACTACTATAATGTTATGTTCATTAAATTAAAATAATTATGTGATAAATCTTTTCTTTAGTTTTCACTACGTGAATAGAATAAAATAATAGAAAACCTGCTGGTTGGAGATAGGTTCTTATATTTAATTGTTCAGTTTGCTTTTTATTTTTTATTCTTTTAAGATTTTACTTATTTGTCAGAGGGAGAAAGAGCAAGCGAGCAAGCACAAGCTGGGGGAGCAGCACAAGCAGGGGGAGTGGCCCTATGTGGGGCTCTATCCCAGGATCCTGCGATCATGACCTGAACCAGAGGCAGATGCTTAACCAACTGAGCCACCCAGGGATCCCCTGTTCAGTTCACTTTTTAAAAAAATGATTAGGAAAGTAACAAAGTCGGGTGTCTGGGTGGCTCAGTTGGTTAAGCGTCTGCCTTTGGCTCAGGTCATGATCTCAGGGTCCTGGGACTGAGCCCCACATGGGGCTCCCTGCTCAGCGGCGAGTCTTCTGCTCTCTCTCCTCTACCCCTACTCATGCTCTCTCAAATAAATAAAATCTTTAAAGAAAATGAAAAGTAACATAGTTTCTTATGAAGTATAAAGAATAAAATAAAGATCGTCTATTATTCTGCCACCTAGAAATTAGCATGGTTTAACATTTTTGTAACTATTCAGTTAGGTTTTTGTCCTTTGATTCATACTTCATTTAACCAAAAATAGAACATTAGGTATTTTTATAACCTTTTATTTTTCTTATTGGCATGCTGTGAAACTTATTTCATATGACTATTTTTTTCTAATCTTATTTATTTGTCAGAGAGAGAGAGAACACAAGCGGGGGGCAGCAGCAGGCAGGGGGAGAAGCAGGCTCCCTGAGGAGCAAGGAGCCCGATGAGGGACTCCATCCCAGGCCCCTGGGACCATGACCAGAACAGAAGGCAGACACTCAACCAACTGAGCCACCCAGGTTTCCCAACCATTTTCTTTTTACAAAGAAGTACATCATGATATTTGTTTATTTATTCATAAGTAATCTCTACTTCCAACATGGGGCTTGAACTCATTCTGGGCTCGAGTCACATGCTCTACCAACTGAGTGGTTCAGGTGGCCCTACATCATCATTTTTAATGGCTTTGTATTTTATACATGGATGTGCTGTACCATAATTTATTTACTCATTCTCTTCATTTATAGGAATTTAGGTTGTTGCCAATTTTTTTGTAGTTATAAGCAATATATTAATGAATGTCTTTAAAATTGTTGGACACCTTTTCCACTATTTTATTAAAATTAATTCTAAGATGTAGAATAGCTGGGCAAAGGGTATCTTAAAGAACTTTTTTTTTTATGAAAGCCAAACTATCTTCCAGAAACGCTGCACAGATTTTGACTCTTGATATGGTTATGCAAATACCTATTCCTTCTACCCTCATCTAGGTTCTTTTAAAATCTTTGCCAGTCTAATAGGTGAAAAGCAGTATCTCATCGTTAGTTTTATTTTCATTTTTTAAAAAAATTTCTATTGAGGTATAACATCTTTTCATATAATTTCTGACATACACATGACTAGCTTGTTTTTGTCCTTTGGACTTTCTAAGAGATAGTATGGTTATCTTTTCCTTCATCATTTGTAAGAGCTCTTGATATATTTATTATGTAAATCGAACATTATTAGATATTAAGAGCAGTAACAGTATATATAATTAAATATTAAGCAGTATGTGTGAATGTTAAATTGTTTTTCCATTTTATTTTTTTAACTTTATGTCTTGTGCCATTGGAAAGGCAATTTGTGTGTGTGCTCAAATTACCTATTTCTGGTTTGTTTCTTGAATGCACATCATACTTAGAGATAGAGGAGAAGCAGGTCCTGTCCCAATACATAAATTATTTATACTGAAGCACTGTGGTGTGGTGGAAAGAATGTGGATTAAGACCCTAGCACGTTGAAGATGTACAGCCAAGTTGGTGGCGCTCAGCTTCCATGTCGCGCAACCTTAAGTACATTACTTAACCTGAACCAGTTTCCTCATCTGCAAAACGCGACAAATAACACCCACTTCATAAGTTGGTATAAAGACAACATGCCTAGCACAGACAACGCATCCAGCTTGTGTTAATGCTCTTTTCTTTGCTCTCGGCGAGGTATTAATTGCCAGAAGTGTCTCTCTCCTCGATGCAAACTGAAAAGGTTGGGAGGTGTAATTTTTGTTGAGTTTACGTTCAAACATTGTAACAGGGAGCTTTTAGAAGCAGTCCATTAAACTACAAACCCCATAATGCATATTAAATGACCATAAAGTTTCTGTGTATGAAGCCTTTGTGGCTTGGGGGAGTGCGAAGAGCCACGGGCTTTTTATTTACTGGATTTGCTCTCGTTGAGACACCTCCCCCATTTTTCCCTAAGCACATGTAGTTACTTTTCTTCCTCTTAGAAAGCTAACTTCACAGGTTTCAAAGTGAGCTTTCAGTTACAAAGCGAGAACGTATCTCAATTAGAAAACTGTGAATATCATGAAATTCATTAAAAAAAACACAAAACTGTGGGGTGTGTGGGCCATAATAATAATTCTCACCTCCCGTAGACTTAGTAGAAAGAAAAATGATTGGCCCGATTATATCTAGTAGCCATTTTTACCCTTTGAGAATCTGAGTTTAGTTGCCACCGAGTTAGTCTCCTCTCTTCAGCTACCGGCCTCCCGTACGAATTATTTACGGCCGACACACTCGTATTTGCATACGACGGTGGATCCACTGCTGCTGGGCGCTCAATTAGCCCTGCGCCTGCACGGCCAGCGCTCCGCCCGCGCAGGGCCATGTACTGGCGAGCATGTGATCTCCCTTCCGCCCAGGCCCGAGCGCTGTACCCGGCAAGTAAAGCGCGCAGCGGCCGCTCCGAGCGTCCAGCCAGGGAAGACGCCGCGGCGCGCGCCACTCTAACTCGCGCGGCTGCCTCCCGGCTCAGCCGGTCCCCTCTCACCCTCCCTGAGGCCCCACCGTCCCAGGCTCCCGGGCGGCCCTGGACGGGGGAGGGGTGGGGGGAGGGGCTCCTCAGGGAGCGGCGGGGAATTCCCCCTTCCACCGAACGTTCCCGATTGTTCACCGTCCTCACGTCAGCAGCAGGGGGTAATCCCCGACTCCAGCTGCTCCTGACGTCACTGCGCGGAGCCACCGCCCCCCACGCGCCTTTACCTCCGGGGCTTCCTCGACGCTCCGCCCCCAGACGTAGCCACGCCCATTCCCTCTCCCCCGCCCCAGCCGCCCGACGTAGGGGGCGGAGCTTTTTCGGCCAGGGCGTGAGCGGTTGCTTGGGCCAGAAGGTTCTCTGGTGGAGGCGCTCCTCCTGCTGCCCCGCCCAGTAAGTTCGTTCGCACCGCTTCTTCCACACCCTTTATCCCTCCTCCTTCTCCTCGCCCCGCCTTTCCCCTCCCTTCTCCTCAACCCCTCTAGTTCCTTCCCCGCCTCGGCACCTTCCACGATCTCGCGAGACTTGACCCAGAACATTGCGGATCGGGTCGGCGCCATTTTGGGACCGAGACTGGTTGTGGGGGAGGGAAAAGCGGCAAAAGGGGATTATTCAAAGTACCGAAAACCTCCTCCCGGGATCGAGCGCAGCGGCACCCCCAGGCTAGGGGCACCTCTGGTGTAGCAGAAGGTAACACCGTCCTCTGTGCTCCGCGCTGGAGTCTGGGGGAGGAAGGAGGGTGCCCCTGTCGGCGTTGGGGTTTGAGGGGTCGGGAGCGGCGTTGGCGGCGCGAGGTGTGAGGCTGCCCTCGGACGCGGTGCGGGGGGGGGGTGGCGGAGAGCAAGGAGAGAGACGGAAGGACGGCGGCGAGAGGCCCCTTTAGATATTTACTCGGTCCGGGTGGAGTGGGGGTGGCGGTTGTGGGGAGGGGGTGGATGGCTTAGGCTTGGTGGCTGGGGGATGTTTGGCGGAGGCTGAGAACGGATCCGACGCCCTCCGTGCTGGGTCTTCCTTCCTCCGGCCTTTCACACATGCCCGCCTCCTTTGGCACTACTGCTCCTCTCAAGAGGGCTGACGGAGTCGAGGCCGAGTTGTGGCCTTCGGTTGTTTCTTTAGTAGCGGGCCCGCTCTTTTCCTCCTCTCCCGGGTCCGTGGTCGTAGCTGTGTATTGAGTCGAATGCTACCATGTCCCTCGGAGCCCTGTGGGGCTTGAAGGGACCTATTTTGGTTTTGGAGAGAACCACTCTTAATGGGATTTACGAGAACGGTTTGGTACCTTCCACCCCCTCAGTGTTGGGAGAAACCTGTTTTCTTAATTCAAGGAAATGGGGACCGACACCTTTATCCCACAGCTGCTCTCAGTAGCCGGGGAAGTCTCACCCTCAGGCGAATTTAAGGAATGTTCTTGCCCCATTTCTCATCTCCCTATTTTCTACCCTTAGTGGGGAAAATGTCTCTTTTAGACATTCTAATTTGGAGAGAGCGTCTTTCTCTTTATATCCTTTTTTTTTTTGTGGGTTGTATTTACTAATGCTCCCTGGCACCACACCTGCCTGTTCCTTTTCTTTGGGCCCAGTGAATTGAAAATAGAGAAAATCTTTTATAAGGTTGTGGGCCAGTTTCATAGTTTTAATTTTTACTCGAAAAGTATAGGAGTTTTATATAATTCCCCCGTATTATATCCGCACCCCCTTCCCAGTTGAAATCATTCCTTGTCCTACGTAACATCATCTCCCACCTTTCCCTCTTTTATTCTAAAGTCTTTTTCATCCAGTAGACTGTTTTGGGGCGCTTGCTTGGGCTGAGCCTTTTTTCAGACCCCAGTAGAATTACGTAGAAGTGAATTTCTCTCCAGAAGTTGACTCTTCAAGATTGGGGTTAATTTTTAGCTCAAAATTAAAATTCAGTGTGTAATTTAAGTTTTTTTTATGACTTTTACAGGTGATTGAATTACTCATATATGAAGATCATCTTCTAGGTTTTGTGTAAAAGGCCCCGGATATTTGAAGTGGCCATTTTGGGATTACAATGTTTTTGGATAATTTTGCCCCAGAAGTTTATTAAAAGTGGCAAGAATCATCTCTGAAGTGAATTTATAGTAGTGAACAATTCTACAAGCTACTAAAAGGACCCAGGCATTTCTTCAGTATTTTGGTTCAAACGGATTATATAACTGGTTAAATTATTTCAGCTGGTGGTATTTTTTTGCCTCTTCCCCCCCCTTCCCCTGTAGTTGTTCTTAAGCCAAAACTGTAAGATATGTGTTGATTTGTGTACTGAGTAGTTTCGGCAGTTTCAAATTACTGTTTAAATATTGCTGAAATTTCTTGGCAGTTTATTTTTACCTTTATTAAAAGTTTTAGGAATTTTTGACCTCAGCCCTTTTCATGTCACAATGGGACAGCTTTTCTAAATGAAGACATTGAAAGAATACAGAGTTTTTTCCCTTTTATCTTTTATTTACGTGGAAATTTAAGATGTTGCAGTTTTCCAGCAGCATGGTAGTATTGAGATAGCTATCTCTCTATATGCTGATGTTTAGGAATGCTCTTCAGATGTGAAATTTTCTTTTTGTTTTTGCTTTTTGGCTCATAAGTTGGATATTTCATCTGGAGTGGATAAGTACAACAGTGACAAGTACATGGAATAATAAAGAAGACTTTAAAATCTTAAATCCAAGGAACTTGGCTAATTCTGGAGATAGCCATATGAAAACTTTAAAACAGAAGTATGGGTAGCTGACTTGAAGTAACTCTATGTCAAATAGTCATAGGTTAAGTATCTTCAAAGAACTTGGATATTATTTCAGAGGATACAAAATAAAAAAACAAACTGGAAAACATAAAGATTACAGAGAAAAACCCAACACCTTCCTGTGCAGTCCTGTTGGAATTTGTAAGTATTGTATGGTGAGCAAATCATATGTTCGTTTGTAAACTGTAATAAGAGTCAAGTTTATTCTATGTTGGAAGCCTTTCAGTTTCTTGGAATAATACTGCTTGGCTTCAGTTTCCTGGACAGTCTGAAGACTACCTACCATTAAGTAAATTGAATGCAGAAAAAGTTAACATTTAAGAATATTTCAGATCACACAATCCATATTTTTACATTTTTGTGTTTATGAAGTAAAGAAAATCCCTTTGGTGAGTATTCACCCTAATTTTTATGGATTCATAGATTGGTAAAAAGGTAGGAAAAAACATATTTCATGTGTCTTGCTAGCCAATTACTTTCTTTAGGCTGCTTTCTAAAGGGAGTTCAGTGTTGTAATTTAGTTAGGTAGTTTAGAGTAAGTTATAACATGTGACTTGGTTTTTAAAACTGATTTCCATCATAATTCATAATTCTTTTAAATAGCTTGATATATTTTCTTTTTGGAAGGTTATGTTGACTGAAGTTTATAAACAAAGCTTTTTTTAAAAGTTGGAAGTATTGCTGTAATAGATCCTTTGACAAAGGAGAATTATGTTTTAATAATACCTCAGTTTTTCACTATTGAATAGTACTGTTTTTAGTTACCCTTAGTTATTAGGGTTTTTCAGTGATGCCTAGGCATAGGAATGTTTGTTGTTAAGAAACCCACTAAAATTTATTTTTTAGACACTTAGTGAATATATTAGTGTAGCTAAAATGAGAGTTTATTTCGTTTAGTTACCTTTCTTAGATAAAAGACTGTAATTTTGAACATTTTGCCAAGTTGGCTTTATAACTTGCCAGTTGCTCCCTTTATTCCAAAACAGAACTTTTTTTTCCTATGCTCTTGATTGAATCCTTTTATCTCACTTAGAGCAGAAGAGGTGGTAGAGTCCAGAACAACGTAGGTATCCAAATAAAGCATTTATTTTCTGATCTAAAATTGCGTTGAAAATTAGGTGATTCTCTCTGTTAAAATAGACTGAGTTATTTTGGTTTTGTCTGTCAGAGCTGTGTAGTACTTCTAATTGAGCTTTCACCTTGATTTATATTAAAAAAATGGCGAGACCATTCACCTTTTCCCTTTAGAAGGGACTGCTGTTAGATGCATTTCTCAAGTTACTGGTCTAGGAATATGCCTCTTAAATGTGATTAAAAAGTTGAAGTGGAAATGAATGATCTTCTTTCATAGAAAAGAACATTATTTATGATTATTTTCCTTTAAATTATTCCTACTGATGTTACCCAAAGCCATGTTACCAGGATAAAGATAATTCCAGAGACAGGGTTTTTAAGAATTAACTTTAATCTTTGAATAGTCTCACATCGGTGAAGTTTGCTTACAGCAATTGTTCATGGACAGATTTACTTACTTGAACGTTTTGATAAATATTTTATTATGTTCTTGGCTTTAAAATAGCAGTAGTAATTGGAACAATTGCTTCTCCCCCTCCCCTCTCCCACCTTTTTTCCTCCTGTCTACCCTACTCCATTTTTTAACTCTCCTGTGCCTAGACTGTAGGTCTAAAAATAATAATCATAGTAATTAACATTTATAGATGATTGTGTCACGTATTTTGCTGTGAACTTTGCATAGTATTCTTTAGCTCTTAGAATAATTCTATGAAGAAAGTGCTATTATAGTTACAGTTGTACAGGTGAGAAAATTAAGATTTTAGGAAATTGAGTCTGGGAGAAAGTAACTTGGTTAGGAACAGGGTTAGAGAGAAGTTTTGACCAAATCTCCCAACTCTTACTGGAGGGCTCAATACTCTTCATCACTATGCTGTACTGCTTTCTTGTGAATTGTACTTCATTAACTCCTATTTGAGCATTATCCCTGATATTTTTGTTTTTTCTTGTATATACTGCTTCTCTTTGGTTAATATTGATTATTAGTGGAACTTGGAGTTAAGCTAAAAGGTAGAAGAGAAGGTACTGTTAGTGTTGCTATTTGTAACTATCTGGTAAAACTTTAGTTAACTAAAAATTAAAATGTACTTTCAGGTTATATTTCTATTTTATACACCCACATTCTCTTCGCACATGGGTGAAGCTAAATGCATGTTAGCTTTGTTTTACTTTTTCTCTGGTTTTGAACTGAGATTAGTCCATAGATTTTTATTATGTTAATCATCATACATTACACCATTAGTTTTTGATGTATTCCATAGATTTTTTTTGCTTAAAGTTCCTAACACTTGAGAATGGAGGAAAGAAGGAATAGTAAGGAAATATCAGGAATGGGAAAAGAAGAAAGAAAAAAAAATTAGAATTACAGAGGGAATAAGGATGGGAACCTCTAGTATGAGAGTAAAGTTAGCAAGTGAGAATAGACCCTAAACCCAGGCCAGATTATCTGTCTTGGACATAACCACCTTTTTTCTGTTTAATTTTTAACAATTTTAAAATAACAGTTTAGATTCAGGTAAGGGTAGTAATGTAGAAAAAGGGAAATGGCTGGGAGTTAGGAGATTTTTGGTCTAGTGTTTGGAAAATCTAGAAAGGGGCCTGTGTGACCTTGTGTATTTACCAAAGCTCTTTGGCCTTGGCTTTTCCAGAAAACTGATGGAAATAATTTATATGAAGGCTTTTTGTTAATTGTGAAGTGTAACATATGTGTAACATTTTTTTCTAATTTCCAGTATTTTGAGATTCTGATAAATACATGTCAAATCAGTATTTGTTACTCTGAAGTTGTTTTCTTCTTTTGTATCTGTTAATGGCATTACTGGAAACACGTTCATTACCCTGCCCCTCCCCATTTCCAGTTTCATTTATTATCCTAGCTTGGTCCTTGATCAAGAAAGTAATGAACTAAATCTCTTTGCCTTTTAGCTCCATTCTCTTTTTCCCCATAGTCTCTTCTGTGGCCAGAAGGATAGCTCTTGGTTTCGTTAGTTCAGCAGCCCTCACTTAGGGTGGTGGATTTGGCATATTTAGGGAGAGCAGGTTGGAAAGAGATGTATTCCCTGTCCCCTTCTCCCCTTTTTGAAATGTTTTATATGTCAGGGTTTCCTAACGTCAATATTTTTTGCCTACATTGGTGGGTGTGGGAGACAGTGGTTTAAAAATTCTCTAAAATCGATCATTTTGGGAGTGCTTATATATTTTTCTGGGGAGCAGGTCAATTACTTTGAACAGGAGACTCAAGAAAAACAAAATGTTAGAATTACTGATAAACCTTTTGTGGTTGGATGTTTTTCAGTTTTACCTGCTTTGCTTTTCCCCTTTTTTGTTAGCTGCCACACCCAGCAGAATAGTTACAGGCTTTTGCTCTATATCCTTTCAAGTAATTGCTAGGTCTTTTTATACAAGGGATCCCACTCATTTTCTTGTTTTTGAGTCATCTTTCTGTTCACAGCTTGGTGAGTGTGATGTTTTGGTGTTTCATTTTCTGCTCTTTAATTCAGTTTATATTTTTTTGAAACCTTAAAAGTTTTTTCTGTACTTATTTTTAGCATGAAAAAGTTTTAAAATTGTTAAATATGTTGTGTTTCCTTTGAAACTCAGAACTTGGAAATACACTTTTAAGAATTTCTTAAACTGAGGGGCTCCTGGATGGCTCAGTGTGTCTGACTCTTAATTGCTCCTCAGGTCTTTTTTTTTTTTTTAAAGAGCGAGTGAGAAGAGGGGAGAGGGAAGGGCAGAGGGAGAGAGACTTTAAAGTAGGCTCCACACTGGGCTCCATCTCATAACCCTCCTGAGATCATAACCTGAGGCAAAATGAGTCTGATGCTTAACTGAATGAGGCACTCAGGAACCCCTCAGCTTAGGTCTTGATCTCAGGGTGGTGAGTTCAAGCCCTGTGTTGGGCTCCATGCTGGGCATGGAGCAAAAAGGAAAAAAAACCTCTTAAACTGGAAAAAAAAAATTCTTAAACTGAAAAATTGTCTTTGCCTCTACGTTTGCATACTAGTTAAAGAAATTAGTTTGCTTTTCAATGAGTATAAATACAGTGAGTTTAAAAAAAATAATAATTGTCTCACATGATACTTGTGGGTGGGAAGTTTGGCAGCCATTATCTGAGTGGTTCTGGCTCCCTCTAGGTCTTTAATATAAAGACCTTCAGATACTTGAAGGCTTGACAGGGGCTGGAGGATCTTTTTCCAAGATGGTGGACTCATTGGCCTGGCAGCAGTTGATGCTGGCTGTTGTCTGGAGGACTCAGTTCCTAACCACCTGTGGATCTCCTGTCAACTCCTTGGGGTTTTTTTTGTTTTTTTTTTTAGTAATCTACACTCAACTTGGGTCTCGAACTCACAACCCCAAGGAAAAGAGTTGCATCCACTAGGTCAGCCAGGTGCCCCTCCTTTAGTTTCTTTAAAATGTGGCGGCTGTAGCTCCTGGAGCAAGTGATCTCAGAGATAGGTAGAAGCCAGGGTATCTTTTATGACCTACTCCAGAAGTCATTTCTGCCACATTCCAAGCAAGTCATTAAATTTAGCCTGAAACCAAGGAGCGTAGTTAGGTTTCATCTTTTCTCTAAAGAATTTGTGGACATATTCACAAAAACCACAGTAGGAGGTAATCTTTCCCAACCAGTAGTTGTCAGCATAATTGGAATTAGCCAGTCTTCACTCCACAATTAGTAGGTTGGGCTGTTACAACTTTAGAGAAGAAAGTATATTCTAAATTTATATAGATTCAGAAGATTTAAATCTTTCTACATTTATAGCTATAGTCTGAGCTTTGGAGGTAAGGTTTTTTTTCCCCCCCCCTTTCATACTAATCTTGAAATCACTGTAATGAGGGAAATTTTTTTTTATCATGGCAAAAAAAGCGCGCCATTTTTGAGTGTGTATTTAAGTGGCATTGAGTACATTCACATTGTTGTGCGTTCATCACTACCTGCCATCTCCAGAACTTTTTTCATATTTCCAAACTGAAACTCTGCGTACCCGTTAAACATTAACTTTGCACTTCCCCCCTCCCTAGCCCTGGCCATCACCATTCTACTTTCGTATTTCTATGAATTAGAC